CCTTGCTGAAATGTGCCAATGGCATGCATTTGAAATCATGAAGTCCTGAAAACCTTGTTTTTAATGAAAGTCATGTCACTTTGACAGGTTAGAGCTATGAAAATCTACTCCTGTCCTAGGATTCAAACTTGTATCTCACAATCAAAACAATACACATTACATCATTACTTCTGCATATCCTGGTCTCTTCCTCAGACCTTATCTATCAATGTTGTAATTTTTCAAGTTATTTAATAGCCTCCTCCAATAACCTTGAGGATAAGATATTGCCCAGAATATCTAAATTTAAAATCTGAAAGTAACAGATTGCCATAGTATGGAATGATTTGTAACTTTACTTCTGTATACAATAAAAAACTTATATTCATAATATGGAGTTCTGTATAACATCAATTTCTGAAGAAATGCTACATGGAAAGTCAAAGATAAATTCTTCCTGATGATGTTAGACTTCATAAATTGTAAGTAGCATTTTTCCTGCAGCTTCAGATTCATTTCTGGTTGTGCATCACTATTTTCCTAGTTATTCATAGTGTCACAGAGAAAAATGGCTGGAAGGGACCTCCAAGGGTCATCTAGTCCAACCCCCTGCCTGAGGCAGGATCATCCCTATCCAAACCATCCCATATGAATCATAATTTAAACTCTACATAAGACTGCCATCAACCCTGACACAACACAGACCTAATACCCTAACCTGCCACAGGTAAAGCATGGGAACCATGGCAGCCAATGTCCTGCCTCTATAAAATGTTGTCATATATGGTCAGGAGGTCCTCGGGCATAGGATAGTGTAAGAACTATAAAATTTCTCTCAGGTGGAAATTAATCTTTGCACTCCCCTATGCCTGAGGAAGGGCATGTGTGCCGAAAAACTTGTAAACAAATATTTTTTTTTGCAGCTATCTAGTTGGTCTAATAGAAGATATCACCTCCCCAAGAGTTCTGATTACTTTTGCCTGCAGACCAACACAGCTACAACCTATATCCCTGAAACATGGAAGATATCAAAATTAGCTGTTAGCTGTTTTGAAAAGAAAACTTTATAATTTTACCTTTTGTAAGCCTTTTGTTTTGAGCCAAATTTGCATGCTCACAAAACAGCCTTACCACAAGAGAAATCCCTGGCCCAGGAGAGCCTTCCATCATCCATCCTCCTGTGAAATATGAAACTTCATAACAAGAAAGAAGCATGATTCAACATCTTGCTTGCCATCAGATAACTCTGAGGTAAATAGACTGCTCCAACTTTTACCTGGGCTATTTTGCATGACATGAACTTTTCCAGCCAGAAGATCTTATACTGCCTTTCATCTCTCCTGTAAAATATGAATTTTCATTTCCACATGGGAGAAATTTTACAATCTTTGCGATTTGCTGTGCCTGAGGAAGGGTGTGTGTGCCTGAAAGCTTGCAAATAAAGAATTTTTTTCAACTATCTAGTTGATCTAATAAAAGATATCACCTCTCCAAGAGTTTTGATTAAAATATTTGATCTTCATGATACATTGCTGTGATAATTGATATATGCATTGTGGTAATATCTAGGAGTCCCAGTCATGGGACCGTAACATACACTGTAAAACAGCAAAAAACAAAGAGCTTACAATACAAAACTTTATCATAAACATCAATTGTTACTGATGAGTAACTTGGCGTATACATGCTTGTGTAGTTCAAAAGTAACATTAAAAGAGTGCCTAGTTTCCCATGGTTATTTTTAGCAATAGTTTAACAATTTCTGATTTTCCTTTAATCTTTTAGAACCTGATCCAACAACTACAGTGGAGCAAATCGCATAGCAAAAAACTATACTTTTCCCTTGCATTTAGATTAATTTATATAATGTATTGTGATAAAATATATTTTAAGTATTTAACTTTTATTAAAATCTAAATCTGTCATCTTAGCCAGGTATGTGCTACTGGGAATGTTCAAAATACAATTATATGTTGTGTTATGCATAAAGGTAAAATGAGGTTCACCACTATTGAACTTCATTAGCTTTCATTAACAAATAGCAAAGATCACATATATTAATTGTTCAGTGAGGTTTAAATAATATTGGATAATGCCTAACCTTATTTAATATTTTGAAATATTTAATTACCCATGCACAGAAGTGTGAAATATAGTCTCCTAGAATACATAAAATTCCTTCTCTCACTGCTTATATTTGCAAGTGGCAACATCTGCAAGTCTCACTTTGTGGATTTAGTGCTTTAGATAAACTTCAGAATCAGCCAAGAACAATATGTTATCAAACTTTGTGCTACACTTTAACCTCAAGTGTATATATTTTACAAGTAATCATGAAAACTCTCAAAATTATTTTAATTTTGTGTTAGAAGGGAAAGTCTCTTTGCTGTTATGTGTTTTCATAATTATTTTGATTTAATCTCACAGTCCTTTAAAATACACTGTTTTCATATCAAATGTTAGTACAGTGGGTGTGACAGATACCTTGAAAGAGGGAGAGAAATATTTGGATCTTATATACATAAACTATAATTAAACTACTGTTGTTTTCTGCATTGGTGGCATCAGTTCAGTTCATCCATAAATTACCTCCTTCCAACTAGAGAGATGGAATTGCATATTTCATGGGAGGCACTGGGACAGGTAAGCTTCAGGTGTGGAATACTAGATTGGCAGAAATAGTGTGCTTTCCCATTTTTTTTAGGCTGGCTATCCAAAACAGAATATAACATTCATAAATGAGAGCAGCTGTTGCTCCTGCTGTGGCTGCACTCTTAAGTCAACAAAAGCTAGCACTATTACCACAAAAACATTTTAAGCTCCCCTCCAGTTCCACCCCAGGTTGCATGATGTTCTTTTCCAAAATAAAAGCTGTACAAAGTTTATAATGCCCTTTTAAAGTATAGATGCTTTCATAATCAGCCTGCATGCATTCCTGTCTGAAAGTCTGGCTAAATGAGTTTGAAAAGCATAAGCATGTTGTATACCAGGCACACTCCAGAAACCACCAGCTAAATAGGCAGTTCTCCTGTGTATCAAATGACGTTCACATCATTGCCTTTTTTTCCCTGCTCAACTGACTGGATATGACTTCATGAAGAAGGTATCAGAGAGATGTTTATCTGAAAGTGCTAGTACACTTCAAGAGAAAGCACTCCTCTACATAAATTCATCTTGTTACATGATATTGCATACTAGACAGCATTCTTTTCAACAAATTGCTCACCACACCCAAAGCCAACCATTCATATGGACAATCACATCATTACTGTAGTTAGTGTTCTCTTCAAGAAAGACCAAGTCAGAAAGAGATTTGGATCCTTGTAGCCCAAACAAGAATTATGAGTTAGTCGCATGGTGTGCCTATACATGTGCAGCAAGGCTGCTCCAACATGATGTAATTACAGCACACTGGAGCAGATTAAATTAATTTTTAATTAAGTCACTTAAACTAAACCATCAAACAAGCTTTAATTAAAACACCCCTGCTGCCATTTTTCAGTGCTTGGATGCTGATACACGTGACACTCTGGACACTTTAATTAGAGTGGCTCTCAGAGCTGCTGTAATTAAAATGCCCAACCTCCCCCAACTCCTGGACCATGCATATAAACATCCATGAAGACCTGACCAGACTATAAAGGAGAAAGCAGCAGGTGCTTGTGGCAGTGTTGCTTGATGCCTGTGGGCTACATCACCACCATCAGTGACTATGAAGATATCCCCTGCAACAAGCTGCAAAAGGTATTTGATTCCAGTGTTAAAAATAACTACACAGTTCTTACTCATATTGAAAAAAATTGTAGCCCTCTACAAAAACTCTTAAGGCTGATATTGCAAGGATTTTTTTTAAATATGTACCTAATTATTAATTATGAGCTATGTGATTTAAACTATTCTTTCCATACAAATAACAATTCAACAACTGATAATATAAATACAAGGGTTTGCCTTTTTTCTCAAAAAATGTATGCCTAAATTGCTTTGGTTTTGGTCCAACCAGAACTAGTTTTACTTCCTTGTTGTTAACATAATAATTATAGTAAGAATGCTGTTTCACAAGCCTGGGAACTTTACATCCCAAGACCATTCTCTAATGCACGTGTCTCATGTTGCACTGCACTATACTTTTATTCAACTCACTCACTCCACTTTATACGCTGTTCTATGTTCACCCTTTCAAAGCATCAGATGAAATGAGATTGAGATAATGGAAGCTTATGCTCTCTATATATGTCTTATTTAGTTTATAAGGTATATATCTACCCTACTGTCTGCCTGACTTGAGACTAATATGACTGATTACCTCTCTCAATAAACTATAATGTCACCAAACCATTAATTTGGCCTCAAAACTATTTTACACCACAGCAGCTTCAAACACTATATAGACAGACAATATAAGCAAAAATGCAAGCAGTGACCTTCTAAATTATAATACTAATCAAGAAAGACAAGAAGGCTAAGTACAGACAGTCAAAAAGCCCAAGGCTGAATTGATTCAATCTTCTCAGTTTAATTTAAACTGCATAGATTGAACCAGTAAGCAAGTGAACAGACATTCACTTTTGATTCTGGAAATGCAGCCACATGCCTGCAGCAGCCCAAACCAGAAGCTAGGGGGTGCTAGAGCATGTCTCCCTGCTTGGCTGGAGGAGACAGGTTGAGCGAAGGCAAGGCTGCACACCCTGTGGGACGCGGGGGGGTGGGGGTTTCAAGGGAGGTGCAAAGCATTGTGGGATGCTGAGGGACTGTGAGCTACTTGAATTTTGAGAAGATCTGGGACAGAAGTTCAATAAACCAATTTAACCACCATGTGCCCCCACTGAGGAACGTGGAGACAGGAGAGCAGCTCTGCTTCCCATCCACATGCTGCTCCCTGACTGGCTGGGGCTCAGGATGCCTCAGTGCAGGTACTGCCTGCTGGCTAGCCCTGCACTGAGGCACCCTGAGCTCCAGCCATTAGGGACAGTGTCTACACATGCACTGCTGTGCATGAAAAAACTTGCAAATACAAGTTCCAGCTTGCTGAGGAGTTTATTAGTTTCATGTACCCTAATAGAGGTGCATGTGTAGATACCAAAATGCTTCCTATGCAGTTAATTGGTCAACTGTGCAGTAAACGTCTTGTGTAGACACACCCAGCGTGACCACAAATAGCAACAGAAAATTCCCTTGCCAGAGGGGAACATCCTGCTGGCAGAAGTGTGCCCAAGTCAGGTCCTGTGTTTGTGTCACCTCTGTACTGTGGCCTGTAAGAAATAATTGGGAAGAAAAGGTAAGTATCAGGGTAGAAACATGGCAATCTAGTAGCTGCTATAAATGACATAATGTCAGGGACTACAACCCAGAATTAGGGAGCAAACCTTACATTCTCCTTCCTTTATCAAGTAAACCTCAGGTATAAGAGAGAACCTAACCCTATAAATCTGCCCTGAACAGAGCAGCAATTGGATGTCTAATCTAGCCAGGTCACCAGCAAAAAGACTGCTGATGCAACACCCCACTAATTTGCCAAGACACAGGGGGCTGTGAAAAAGGCAAGGTGTGAGAGTTAGGGAGAATGGGGAGTTATTCCCATTAACAAGATTAACATAATCCATTTAAGATTTTTTTACAGTGTGTCTGATACATAGCAGGGGGGGGTTTCCAAGTAGAAAACCTCAGTCTATTAAAGACTGGATGGGTAAGGTATTAAAATGCTAGATTTGGCTTCCTTTTCAGTAACCCTTTGGCTTTCACATTCTAAAGCGCTACATCTGCAATTTCTAAATCATTATTTTATTGCCAAACTATTGTACGTATTTCAGGATGCCAGCCAATTTCTAATAATGGCATCATTAAGTGAGAGCTTAATGATGAGCTTATTGCAATGTTAAATGTGGTATTACTTTGCTTATTTTGCCAATCAGTGATGTCAGTAATATCCTGTTCTTTGGGAACCCTAATTAAATTCTTTCATTGAAGTAATCAACATTTGTGTTTCCAACTACTTTGCAAATACAGTAATTCTTTGTCTGCCCGCTGTGAGAATTTCCTACCCTACATTCTCACATCAGCAATGGGGGAAAAATGTTCATTTCACACTTATATAATGTATTCATGTTTGAGGTGAGCACATTAGAATGTTTCATTTTTAACATTGAAAAGCCACAACCTAAGACAGCCTGGAATAAGTTCAACTCAAATACAGATCCGATTAAAAAAAATAAACTTAGAAGAAGATATCTCCAGGAAGTAGTCCATTCACTAAAGAGCAAACATTTATTTCAATGTAGAAAAAATAAATGCATTGCAAGATCATTTTTCACATGCATCTACATCGTACAGAACTAATGGCATAACAATAATTGAAGCATATGGTATGTTAAAAACTATTCTAAGAAAGACTTGTATATAAGAAGGTTTCATATTCCCTACTAGATTCAGAAACATGAAATTATCCAGCAACCCTGCAGGCAAAAGAAATTAAACCAAGTTGCTGTCAGCATCCAAGATAAACGTCAGAAGTATGTTGTGTTGTGGACTTTTACTACTTCTCTAGCACTATTTCAAATGAGTTCTTAAATCTTTTCATAGACTTCAAAGAAAATTGGACTGAGCTCTAGTGTATCTCCACGCTAATTCTAATATCCATAACCACTTAGGACCTAACAAAGTATGTTATATCACAGTGGCAGAGAACTCAGTTCTCTGCTGAGGACACAAGCCTCCTTACCAGCTCCTGCCCTGTGTATGTTTGTGTCTGCCCTATGTATGACATGGTGAGCATGTCCTGGGGATTGCCCATACCGTCACTCTTGATCATGCTGAAAACCCAGGTCTTGCGTATGGTTCTGTAAATGCCTTCAGGGCATCCTCACTGCCTTATTGTGGGCTTGCTATGTACAGCGTGGGAATACATGGATGGGGCTTATTCCCTCAGTATCAAGTCTGAGCTCTCCTCTGCTCCCATACCAACTCAAGTGATTGGCTCCAGCAATGCATTTCACAAACCCGAGTTAGGTGATTAAGTTCCTTGTACAGTGAAAGGGGTAAGTTAGGCACCTTGAAATGGGATTCACAAAAGACAGCATATTGAATAGGACGATGCCTGACCAGTCATTAGGCAATGTTAAAGAAAGAGCTGTAGCTCAAATTCTGTCTCCCTGGCTAAATACAGAGTCAAAAAGCCCCAGCCTGAATCAATTCAATTTTTGAAAATCTTTCTAAACTGCATAGTTTAAAATGGTAGTCAAGCAAACTACTATTCTCTTTTGAAAATGAAAAGGCAGCCAGACCTACGCAGTGGCCCATACCAGTAGCTGAGGGTGGTCTAGAGCACTCCTCCCTGTCTGCCAGCCACTGCTGAAGCTACCTGAATGCAGCCTAACAGGGCTTATCCTTGACAAATTGCCCAGAACATGCCCCCCTCCCCCCCCGGCCCCCAACCCCTTGCTGTCCCTCTGGGGGAAACTGGTAGCTCCTTGCCCCAGGCAAGTTTGCTCAAGCCCACCCCTGGTGCAGGGAGGGGATTCCCCCATCTCATCTCCCACCAAGATGACAGGCACAGGCAGAGGCTAGGGAGTAAAGGCTTTACTGCTTCAGCTCTGTGAAAGCAGGAGGGTGGGACCAAGAGATCCTAGCCAGCTGTGGGGTGGAGAGATGTAAAAAACTCAGCAGAGGGTGCTTTCCCTCCTGGTGCCTAGCAGACCCCGGCTCAGAGACTGGTGCTGGGCAGGGGGAGGTGTTCCTTGCCCTGCCCCCCCAGCCCCTTGGACACAAGGGCAGCTAGCAAGGGGTGAGGCTAAGGCAATGCCAACCTAGTTTGAGAGTCTATGGAGGCGGTATGAGCCCCACAGGTGGTACTTTTCCTCCCCTTGTGCTATGCACACCTGGGTTAGGGGGGCCTGGGGTCTGTTCCCCTTCCCCCATCCTGATAGGCAGACAGGCACATGCAGAGGCTAGGGAGCAGAGGCTTTATTGTCTTAGCTCCATGAAAGCAGGGAGCATGCGGGCCTGCCCTGCTCCACTGGAGCAAACAGAACTGTCCAGGACTACAAAGCAACCTGGGATGCTGAGGGACTGTGAGTTAACTTGAGTCGGGTGGGGATCTGGAACAGAAGTTCCATAAACTGCTTTGACATAAATCAGTTAAGCCTGATACTACATCCATGCAGGTTTATCTTAAACCAGTTTCAGCCATTTTGAAAGCAATTTATGTAGACTGAACTTCTGTTCTGTTACGGGTTGAAACTGTTTTCTGATCACTTAAACTAGTTTATGTGCAACTTCTGTTCCTAGCCCATAAGTATATTGTGCACGTGTCTACGCTGCCATGTGTACACTACACTATTCTGCTGCAGCAGAGATGAGTAGTGAACAGAATGATTCCTAAAAAGCTGATGCTGTGTTGGACCCAGCCCTCCTCAGAATCTATTTGCTTACTACTTGTCTCTCTGTGGTCATCTGTAGAGATGTGAAGAAGGGTACAGCAGGGTTAGAAGTCAGATGTTGGTAAACTTCTTGTGTTTTCAGGTCTTAACCCAGAAGAATTCTAAAACAAACCGAAAAAGAAGGGAGGGTTGGAAGAAGATTGAACTCAGACTATTATGTTCAGGAGATCATGCAGACACAGTATGAATTCCTACCAGTGGCCAAGCCAAGGAATTTTTAATATGGATGGTCTACAGGATTTTAATATGGATTTGGGCTATAGGACAATCCTAGGACTAGCTATAAATCCCTGAACAGACAAAATATTTACACTGTTGTAACTGGGACTACACTACTGTAAAAATGTAGTAGGCAGATGATGCAAATAGCTAAATTGGAGTAAGTTTGCCCACCCTTACAGAAAATTACCACTAAAAGGATAGGGGTAAAACAATACTGTTAAGTTCCAGTCGTTTGGGTTTTGTCTGACCACATCCATTCTGGAAACCAGTTTGCTAAAAAGGCAAACAGGATATTCCTGCTTCTTAGCAATGAAGTGAAATGACAGCCATCCACTGCATGTATGTACCCAAGGGTAGCTGCACATCTGTTCATTCTCCATCCTGATGTAATTTACATTCATATACAAAACTTATTTACACTTTAGAGTAGTATGTCTTCATTTCTCCTTGCCCTGTGTAGCAGCATAGGCATGTGAGTCTGAGATTCAGTCTAAAATCTTCCTGTATAGAGGCACGTAAGGCAGTCACTTGGGTATGGAGTATTAGCTCACGTTTCTTTTAAGATGCAGTTGTGGTGTGCCACCGCTACCCATCTCACATTCAGCAGACTAGGTTCTCAGATTCATGTCACCTTTTGCATTAGATAAAATGCATAAATAACTTTCACAGCAAGAATCAGAACTCTGGACTTTCCACTCTCAGAGAAAGAGTCCTTTATCAATGAACCATTGTCCCTTTTTCTTTTTTCATAGAAATCATAGAAAAGTGGGGTTGGAAGGGACCTTCAGAATTCATTTAGACCAACTGCCTGCCTGAGGCACAATCATATAGAGGCAGAAAAAGGGGACCACAGTGACTTCTTACTTTATCCTTTTTTTCAAGCCAGTTTTTGTGGGGTTCCACTGGATGCCATCCTTGCATTTCTTCTTCCCTTATAACTTACTTCTGCTCTGAATACTTATTCATCCATGAAAAAATTTGGCTACCATATTTATGGTAAAAATTCATAAATTAACCTATCTGATCTGATTCCTTCTGTTCAATGTAAAATCTTGGCTGTGTTACTGACATTTCATTATGGATGTCCAGCCATCACCTTAAACCTAGAGCCAAAACAAAATTCTTTGCATCTATCAGGTCTGATCATAGGCTATAACTGTATGAACAATTTACCTGGGTGGAAGATGGAGATGGGCCTACCATTTCCATACTTTCTTAGTTATTGTGGAAAACATCACTGCCCTCCCCACCTGTAGGTGGGGCATAAGCTTCAATGTGGCTGTCTCTCATCCTCTTGCAACCAGATGGTATTTAAGTTTCCATAATATGTTTAAGATATAGCCTTTCCTCATCACTTCATGTCTTTACTTCCTCCTCTTCAGCATTGGTAAGTCATATTTTCTTTCCTGGTGCCCAATTAAAATTCTAATGCAAAGATCAATTTCCTTGCTCATAATTTTGAAATGGTATCCCATGATATGCCCTCTACTTTTTGCCCTTTTTCACTATATCAAATACAAACTCCCCATTCTCATTTTTTAGAAAGGCTTTTCCTGACCCATTAGAAAGGCTTTTCCTAGATCCATTCCTGACCTACCAATTATCTCTTAAATAATTTATAAAACTGAACTTGCTTCATTTTACAAATGATATCACCCTAACACCCATTCGTTGTTCAAGACTATTTTACATCTTGTATATGGAATTAAACTCCCTGGCTTGATGAGGATCCTCGAAAAGAAACATTTACAAAGCAACTGGAGAGGAAGAATGACATGGAAGCATGAAATCTGAGAGAGAACAAGATCCCAAGGAGCCCTGGGAGACATTAAAATAATGGCATGATGGGATCCAATTCCTGATCCCAGCAACTGCACATCCTATTATGCTACATATGCAAGTCCTGCTATGCCACACCACTATTATGAAGAGAAACTTGTAACCTTGCTTGCTAAAGGTCCAGATTTGCTGAGCCCCAGTACCCACCTCAGCCCAGCACACTGACTACCATGCCCCTCAGCTCCCACTGGAGCTGCAGGAAAGATAGAAAATGTGCTTGAATCTCCTTAAAGTGCTAGGCGCATGGGTTGCAAGGTTCCTAGTGGTGTAGCAAGTTCTTTTACAAGCCATGCATCCAGCACCCAATTGTCAACATAGGAACCATGGCTGTCCCAGTCCAACGCCAACCAATCAGTTGATTGTCGGCATCAGGATGGGGCAGCTTCAGGTCTGGGACATACCACACATTCAATTTATGGTACGATACAATACAGTCACAAAGAAGCTGTAAATGATATGTGGAACTTTTTTGTATCTGGTTTTCTAGCATATGGTGCAGTAAATTGGCTGAACATATGACATGTTGCTATTTATGGGATGATTAATATGCTAGATTCAAGTGCAAAGCACATTAATCATACCATAAATGTAACATCTTCCAAGGGCCACAAAGAGAATTTCAGAGTATAAATGACAGCTAGCAGGTTCTAACGGACAAGGATAGGGAACCAGAGAGATAATATGGCAGTTCTGTCCCCTGGGCAACTGCAATACACAGCAAAGCAGAGCTTACCATGATGGCAAGGGTGGTGGTGTGACCAGACAACACACTGTAGCAATGGCTATTTTTGTGCACCACACTCCAAAAGTGGTGCCCAGGGCTAATGCCCCAGTCACCCCCAATCAATTTTCCACTGTAAAAAACTAGTTCTGTTCTCTGACCAATACAAATTCATTAAACTCGTTGTGGACAATGGAAGATCAACAAACTTTCATCACATTCACCATTATAAGCCAAAAGCATATGGTTATTTCCAAATAGAGAAGAAGAAATTATAAAATGGCAAGAACTTGTTACTGAGAATGTTACGAGCCACTGGGTTGGAAAGTTCCTTTAGAAATACCACTGGTAGGGGAAAAATAGGTCCCCCATGTATATTATCACCTAATGTTCAGAGTTATCAGAGTCATTTTTGTTATCTCTCCCCTCCAGCTAACTATAAATATGCATGTAGTATGTGTGTGTGTGTACACACACACACTCACATATATATATGTAAAAGAAAAATATATATATATGTAAAAGAAAAAGATAGAGAGAAGGACACAGAGAGATTAAGTTCTAAGCCAAGACCAGATCTTTATGTGTTATTTTTAAATTATGAGAAATAAAATCATCTCCCACTAAAGATATCCTTATTTCACTGAATGTTATCAAAGCAGAGGAGTTGAGGCTATCAAAGCATCAAACATTAGGTAGTTCAAGTGCAAAATCCCTATTCATGGAACATTAGTTAATTAGTACTGGGCATAGACATTTCCTTTGACCCAATTCATTCTAATAAAAATAGAAAAAATAACACTGTTCAGTTTCCCAGGTGTAGCAAGCCAACTGTGAATGAACTGAGAGGCTAGCAACAATATCAAAATGGATTTTCCTCCATTAAAATAAATACATTGCACAATTACTTTTTACTATGTAAAGAAAGTGTAGCATTGTTGTGCAATAAAGTTCAAATGCTGTTCTCTTGCTCTTAATTTCACCATAGCTATATAGATGCCTCCCTGTCTTAAAATGACTGCTGTGGTTACATGCCCTTTGAATAAGAAGAGCATTTAATGATGCTAATGGGTCCACTTTTATTAAAGTGAAGTGCTAACTAAAAAAAGGTGTTCATTTTAATTGTGCATGGGAGAAGTATGTTTTCCTTTGGTATGCAAAAAATTACATAAGAAGGAATTATTATATATGATTTGAAAGTTTCACTAGAGCTGGCACTTTTTTCACACTGTGCAGACCACATCTGGGAATGGAGATGCTTAAATCTCTCAGTAGCACAATAAATGTCAGTCCTGTGGAATTTGTGTTCCATGTCACACAGCCAGAGGGGTCTCTAAAAGGTATTGCTTCTACTCCCAGAAACAGCAATATCATTCTTTTCAGATTTGGTAAGTGTCTCTTATTGATTAGACTGGGCAATCTGACCGTTTATTTCTGAATATTACTTTGCTAAGGCTGTCAGTTGTTTTGAAAAATAGAAGCATGTTCAATACATTTTTTATCAAACAAATACATAGAATAAAACAGTGAATCAAGCAAACAAACAAAAAACCAAAGAGCTATTTGTGACCTCATTAAGAAATAATAAATAACTTAAGGCTAAATACAATGAAGAACTTGGGCATCTTTAATTTAGGCAAAGCAGAGCTCAATCCAGGATGTCGGGAGAGGTGACTAGGCTTCCTATACAGTGTATGGGGACAGGTGTCTTAAAAAAGTGAGAGGCCTATATTTAATGTATACCTTGTCCTGATGGGCTTCGGCTACCTATCTCCATCTGTACAACAGGCAACAGGCTATTCTAAGCAAGGATCACTCTCCACTTCTTTTGCTGAAACTGCCTGCCACACTGCAGAAAAGAATTCAATATTCAGTGAAACCAAAGAAAAAGCACAAGAGTATTTTGTTTAATGGTATTCACTTGGGAATTACAGTATTCACTTGGAATTTGAGAATCCTATGTTTGAGTTTCTGCTCCCAGTTAAGTTTGCTTACTTTATAGTGGGGATGGCTACACGTTTATTAATGCGCTTTAGGTACTGCACAATATAGTTTAGTACTTAAAGCTACAATTGGGCTGAGTTCACTTCCCCAGCTCAGTTGATTGCAGAGCTGGGAAGGGGAACTGAGTGATCGGGCTCAGTTCCCTTCCTTCCCCATCTTCCTTGGGCTGAAGAAGGGAACTAAGTCTGATAGCACAGCCCCCACAGCCCTCTCAGGGTTGCAGCCCCTGATCTGCCTGCTGCATGAGAGAAACCAGGTGCTGCTGCCTGGGACCAGCGATGTGCTGGCGTGGGTCCTAGGTGGCAGCACCCGGCTTCCCT